TTCTGTGGTACATGGGGTCGCGATGAGTCGGAACCAACTCCACAGCACCTCACAACAATAATGGTTCACAACCTTCTAGGAATGGGCTTGATAAGTCACTTCAACTGTTAAATACAAAGGTGGTCATCTGAAAGGTAAAATGCCCAATGACTCCACAATGAAACATTGCTTTAAAATGTGGCTTATAGGTATATTCTGATACCTAGGGATGAAAGCAATGACATACTTAGGCTTTGCTTCAAATTGCAGTGGGAAGCTGGAAAAGAGATGTGCACATGGATGATGGCAGACTGGCCACAGGAGGATGACGGTTGAAGTTGACTACTGAGACTATGAAGCCTCATTAGATCCTTCAGTCCAAAGTATGTTTTATACGAAAGCATCTAAATAAAATCATGTAACAAAGAGTGATGTGGAAAAGTCAGGAGGGGGAAGGCTGGCCAATACACACAGATCAAGTGTTTCTTACTTTCCACATTTCACATCTGCCTGACCAAACCCAAACCAAACCAAACTCACTGCCATGGAGTCGATGCAGACTCAAAGCCATTCTATGGGACAGGGAAGAACGGCCCCTGTGAGTTTCTGAGACTGTCACTCTTTATGGGAATAAAAAGTCCCGTTTATGCTGAGGAGTGGCTGGTGGTTTCAAACTGCTGTCCTTGAAGTTAATAGCCCAATGGGTAACCACTGTGCCACCAGGGTTCCACTGGAATCCTGGAAACTGTTACACTCGTGAAACTTCAAAGGTTGTGGCTGCCCGGGTCGCTTCTAGATTCTGACATTTCTAAGGGCCGGAGTGGCTGTGAGCTGTCTATGTCTGATGTTAACCTGATATACAGCCAAGTCAAAGCAGATTTCAGAGGCAGAAAAGACCAGTGGGTTGAGCCATCTTTTACAAATTAGATGCCAAGGTTCAGTAAACTGAGGAGGGGGAAGAGTAAGCAAGGGGTCCCCACAAAGGTCTTCTGTTCAGAGAAGTTCTTCTCCCTGACATTCCAGCCTGAGGTCCATGGGGACTAGCATGAGTGCTATGGGTTGGATGGACAGTGTCTCCCAAAGCACTGAAGTTCCACACTCCCCCCTCTACCCCCGTGCCTGTGTAGGTGACCTGCAGTTAGTTAATATAAGGAGCCCTCGTGGCATAGTAGAGTATGCGTTGGGGTGCCAACTGCAAAGTCAACAGTTTAAAACTACCCGCCGTTCCATAAAAGAAAGGGGAGGTTTTCTATTCCCATAAAGGGTTACTGTCTCAGAAATCCATGGGGATAGTTCTTCTCTGTTCTACAGGGTCACTATGAGTCAACATTGCTTGACAGCATTGAGTTTGGAAGTTGGAGTTAGTTAACATAGAGTCACATAGAACCAGTGTCATTATATCAACAGAAGAGATGCCGCCGCAGATACAGAGGGATGACAGCGTGGGAAGATGGAGGCGGAGCCGGGCGTTATGCCACCCCAAGCCAAGTAAAACCTGAGCCATCAGAGGACTGCATGGGGAGCGGGGTGCTGCCAGCTTCCTGAACTCAGATGCCAGCCTCCAGATCTGAGAGCAGGGATAAGCCCCCAGCGTTTGGCACACCTTTACAGACTCTGTGGGAACCCAAGGCAATGGGTCTCATTCGTGAGTTATTTTCAGTTGTGAACATGGTCTAGTGGTTATGTTGTTTTGCTTGAGAGCCCTTATATTTTAGATAGATTCTGACATACTGAGAAATGAAATTACATGAAACCTGTGATTTTCTTCAAAAAACTGTGGGAGGCTATTAGGGCAGTCGAACAAGGTGCACGTGAAGCAGGACCAACTGTCGAAGCTGAGCCATGAGGCTGTGGAGGCTCCGTCTACTCTTGCACAGGTTCTCACTTTTCAGGTGAAAGATGTGAGGAGAGTAAGAATTCCCTGGAGGTCGAACCTGAGTGGTTAGTCACACTTTAATGGGAGTTATACCCATTCCCTCTATCAAAGAGAACGTCATCACCTTCCGTGCATACATTCAAGAAACAAAATGCCCAGTTTCACTTACTGAGCGAAGTGCTCCCTATTACACCAGGTGAGGGAGAGCCTGGTCTCAGCCTGATGAGCATCGTGTGACAGCCAACAACACCCCTCTCTCACCATCCTTGTCATTTGAGGCATCAATTTAAAGCACAGTATTCCTTACACTGGGTCCATATCCAGGACGGAGCGCCGGAGTGATGTACAAAGAGGCCCGGTGCGCACTGGAGCTGCTGGTAGAGACGCATGAAGCCAGGGCTGGTGCTTAAGTGTGCTCCCCAGGCACCAGCTGCTTGGGGAGCGGCTCCAATTTATTAAGATGAGGATCACATTCACAGTTATCTACAGTGCGCAGTTATGAAGGTATTTTTTACCAGCTCGATGCGTGAGCATACATTTCCATTAATAGTAACTGCCATTATAATGAGAATAAATGTCGTTAATATACCATTTATTTCACCCCTGAGCAAAAATCTGGGGAGTAACTTACACTCAGTCAGTAGACGATTAGCACCCAACATTTTGAGAAATCGATCATAGCTAGCCGAGACAGCTCTGCCACGAGGAGGACAGTGGATATTTGTTTGTGGGAGGCAGGACTCGCAGCAACACTGACGCACAGGGGCAGGCGGTGACACATGCCATCAGGAATCGGTGGGATGGCCGGGATGGGGCTGTCAAGGAAGGTGCCACATGCTGGCAAGCAGCAAATAGTAGGGGAGGCAAAGGGAAATCGCATCGCCCGGTCAAGAGCCACATCCACGAGTTGATTACGATGCACAGCAACCTACATGGCAGAGTAGAACTGCCTTGCCTCAGAGGGTTTCCAAGGCAGTCCATCCTTACAGATGCAGACTGCCTCATCTTTCTCCTTCAGAGCTGCTGGTGGGGTCAAACTGCTGCACTCCTGATTGTCGGCTGTGTACTCTAATTACTGGGCTTCCAGGGTGCCACTTAAAAAGGTTGCAAGCCACAGAAACAGATTCTAACCTTAGCTAAAAAGTAGTTTATTGGAAACATCCAGGAAAGCCTCCAAGAGAGAATCAGGGTCCAACTTGGAACAATGACTGTACATCTCAATACTGGGCCAAAGGGCCCTGCCACTGAGCAAATGGCCTCCGGTGCCACTTCTGCCTGGCACACTTAGCCCAGGTCGGTGGTGGAGTTCCCACCTCCCAAGGTCACTTGTCCTGGGCCTTGTGAAAGAATGCCATGTCCTCGGAACTCCTGTCCAGGCAAGTGCACTCTTGTAGAATCGGCACCCAATCTCACAAGTAGCAGCCCTACCCTTCCAGCCACGTATCTGGAAGCCTTCTGCCCTTTCCAGTCCACAGTTGATAAGCCCTGATTCAGTCACCAGGAGATATTCCAGGTCATAAAATACTTACACACACGAGTTACTTAGCACAATCCATCTGCTACTAAATGGCTTCGTGTATACACTGGACACACATGAAAGGGCATATGGTCGTGGCCTCCGGGGACTGAGTCCACCCCAGGGACACACACCCAGGTCGTCCTAGTCCAGGCGCCTCCCCCTTCTCACTGCCTTGCAGGGAATGAACTAGTGGCCAGCACCCTGGCACCACCACCAGCTCCTCCCCCCACAACTCTATAGCTATTTTCACTTTCCCAGCATCTACTTAGGGAGCCTCAACTTGCCCCCCCTAGAGGTCACCTACATTAGAATTCAAGGAGGTGCTGAAGTCACCTCCCTTCTTAAGAGTTCACTCAGGAACCTGAACAGACAGGTTAGAAGTGAGGGCAGGAGCTCGTCTTCAAAGGCCTCTGCCTCTGAACGTGTGGAAGGCCTGGCATAGAGAGCGATGCTTCCTTATCAGAGAAGACTTGGACAATACCAACGTGTGTGTGTGTGTGTGTGTGTGTGTGTGTGTGTGTGTGTGTGTGTGTCTGGTAACACCAACACCAGGGGACCATCACAGATACACACCCACACCTACTGCCATGGGAGCTGGAGTGGACTTGAGGGCAACTGGTAATTTTTTGGAAAGCACACTTTTCAAACCGAATCCAGATGGAATGGCTCTAAAAGAAGCACAAAGGGCAAAAGGCTTACTAGGAATGCCTTGGCAGGGGCCCAGGAAAGACCTGGGAAACTGCCCACACTTGTGCTGTCATTACTTGCAGAATTTTCTCCTCCGGGTTTCCCTCTCCCCGGGCCGGTTGCCTCGTTTTCAATGAATTTGAGTAGTGGGTGTTATCCTAGAAAATAGTCCATCTCATTTGTATTTTCCAATTTACCAGCGCAAAATGTATGGCACATTCTCTATTTCTAACCATCTTATCTTCAAGTCTAAGGTTGCATTTCTTTGATCTTTAACACTACATATTTTTGTTTTCATTCTTATTTCCTGACTCATAAGGAGCACCTGACCCACGCCATGGTGTTTTTAATAGATTCCTATGCAAGTGAAAGTTGGACAGTGAAGAAGGAAGACTGAAGAATTGGTGCATTTGAATGATGGCACTGGTGAAGACTATTGGAAGTACCATGGACTGCCAAAAAAACCAATAAGTCAGTCTTGGAAGAAGTACAACCAGAAGTGGTCCTTGGGGGCAAGGATGGCGAGATGCTGTCTCATGTACTTGGGACATGTTGACCAGTAAGACCAGTAGAGTCAAGGAGCAGTGGAAAGGCAGAAGGCCCTCCAGGAGATGGGCTGACACAGTGGTTGTGACAATGGGCTCAAACTTAACAACACTACGAGGGCAGTGCTGTTCTGTTGCACCCCGGGGTGCTATGAGTCAGAATGAACTCAACGGCCCCTAACAACACACAAGTGCCAAAAATTAAGTACAATTTCCAAAAACCAGTTCTTCCTTCCACTTAGCCAGTCTGGTGATGCCCAGGTGTTCTGTTCGGCTTGGCTGGGTCTGAGGGGAGGAGGGGTGCTGTGTGCTAGCACCTGTGTGGTCCGGCTGGGCCTGCTGCAGGACGACTATGTGGCATGAACACTCCGGCCTCACAGACTCGGCCCCTTACCTCGATGAGCTTTCTTTCGTAGGAGCTCGCTAGTTCCTCCGCCACTTCTCCCGGCCGCTGCTCCGCGGCTGTCACTTCATCACCATTCCAAGGGTTTGGCACCACTACAGAAAAACCAAGACACGCCATCAATATTTTAACAGTGACCAACATGTTTTCTCTCAAAAAAATAAAATTCTCTTCCAAATGGCTTCTCCACAGAGTACAATGTTCATAAGAAAACAATTTTTTTCCCCTAATCACATCAACACTGTCCCACTTTCTCCACGTACAACAACGTGAAATGACGTGCTGTACAAAAGGGGCAGTCCTACCCCAGAGGCAGCTGCTGAGTCCACGGACTTATCTTGTCCCGGGTGTGCATTCAGAGGGAAGGCACACAATACTTGCAGATCCCAGGGTTGCACCTTTTCATACTGGTCAGATTTCTTGGTCTCCAACAAGAAGAAAAGGCCCCCACTTAGGCACAACTAAGTTGCTGGGAGGTGTGAGCGGCCGAGGCGCTCAGTTGCAGAGATACCTCAAAGCAAGGCCTGCTGACTGCTCCTGAGAGAGAAGCCACTGCGAGTCCCGGCCGTGTAGGTCTGCTCAGGTGCCTGGCACTGCCCTGAGTTGACAACTGGTTGTAAGGGACTGCCCACCACAGCCTTATGGAAAGTGGTAGTTGGGTGGGGGGGGCGGTCTTCTGACTACAAGGAGGACAATAAGGATCGGCATTTGTAGACGCTAATGAGGATGACAGCAGGTAGCCTCCAGAAATACTGACCCCGACACACAACAAAGAACTCGCAGCCATTGCGTTGGTTCTGACTCCTAAGGACCCTCTGAGGCAGGGTTGAATGCTCCTGTGGGATTTAAGACTGTGACGCTGAACAGAGGAACAGAAAAGCCCATTTTCTCTAAAGCCCACTTACAATGGCAGGGCAAGGCCATCTGTGAGATTGGCGACCAGATGAGAGCAGCTACCCACGGATGTTGTGCCTCCTCTTGGCATATAGCTGGCCTACTGTGTAGGAGAGGGCAAAGAAAAGACAGTTGGGAAGGCGCCACGCAGTTTCAAATAAAGTAGGAACTGTTTCAAGACCAGGAAAGAATGCCATCCGCGGCCGTGGTTCTAGGGGTGTTTGACACATGCATTACCCAACTCTCAAATCAGGCACCCACGTGAGCTTTCTGCGTGATGGAACTCCTGGTTGCCCTTATCAAGCTTAAGGAGACAGCAAAGAGGAAGTGCAAGGAAAACAAGCTGGGAAGGCTAGCCCTTCAGAGGCCAGCCGGCCATCGAAAGACAAGGCGGGCGGAAGGGAAAGAGAACGCGGAGAAAGGCTGAGCCGAAATGGGAGCTGCTCCCTCTGACGTGGTTGGCGGAGCGGGCCTCTAAGGGGCTGCAGCTGCTAGGGCCCGTGTATGCAGCAGAGGGCTCCCTGAGTGACAAGCCAGAGTCTGCGGTTTCCACCATCCCAGTGGAGGTGTGCTTCCTGCCACCTCTGTGGGGAGCGACCCAACCACCGCCGGTAACCTGGAAAAGCATTCAAAGAAAAAACAACTGAAAAAGGGCTTCCCGTGAAAGTTGACAGACTTAGCACATTAATTTGTATTCCCATCCTCTCAAAATTCCTTGAAATGCCAATTTTAAAAATTCTTCCTAAAGGCATCACCCTCCAAGAGAACGAGACTGGGGGACGAAGCAGGCCCGGAGTGTGTTGAAACTGAGAACCAGGTAGATGGCTGGCAACTAACCTGCCAGACCAGGGAGAACTTCATTCTCAGCTCTAAGTGGCAACCCCCAAACACAAGCTGACAAAAATGGAACAACTTGTACAAGGACGAGAAAGTTCTAGCCCAAGCAATCTCTGGAAATGGAGAGTGAGCATGAGGCTAAAAATCAAGAGATGAAAAGGCTGCTTAAGAAGCAATGAGCAAAAGGCTAGGAGTTATTCTCCAGAGAAGATGAAACAGCAGGTCTGTGGAGTTAAGATGAGCCTAGCTCCTCTTGCTATTGAAAATACCAAAACTCAGAACCAAACTCCCGGCCACTGAGTCGATGCTGATTCATAATGACCCTATGGGACAGGGTAGAACTGCCCCTTTGAGTAAAATAGAGAGCTAAAAATACCACACTTCTGAATTTTTTAGTTCTTTCCCCAGAACAGCAAGCCTTGAACATATATACCTCCATGCAGGAGCCTGAAAAAATATCATGGGAAGAAGAACCCTAAAGAGAATGGTCCTGAAGAGACCTGTTTGAGGGAACCCCCAGTGTGATGGCACAGCCGCATCACCCCCAAGAAGCCCACAGTAAAAGTTCACCGCGCTTCTGATCAGCCCTTTTGTGCTTCACATCTGCTCCTGATGCGACAGGCAGAAACCACCTTACATTAAGACAAGCATCCGAGAGGACAGACAGGAACCAAACATAGACAGGAAAGCCACTTGGAGGAAGTGAGCCTGTGAGAACGCTTCAGAAGCAAACGATCACCGACGTTCCCAGAGAGAGAGGGGACGCGACCCTGTAGGCATGAAAAAGACCAGAACGTTTTTTAAACAGAGGAAGAGCCCCTGGAGAACACGAGCCAAAATGCTCCTTTGGAAAGTGAAACGATGGCTCTAGACCTGCAGCACTGGGTACACGGAATGAAAGACCAGAACTCTTCCAGAACGCAGATCCGACAGAAAATAGACAAGCACACATTCAGAGAAGAGCTTCAAGGAGAAGGGGGGGCGGTGGTGGTCACACACACACACACACACACACACACACACACACACACACACACACACACGAATGTGAGCAATGTCCCAGAGCCAAGCGACAAGTGTTGGGACTGAGAGTTCAATGAGTGGACAAAGCATGCGCCCGATGGAGGTACCCAGGGAAATCTAGAACATGACGACAAAGAAGAGGCACAGACCTCTGAGGTGGAGACAGACCCTACAGAAAGGATCAGCTATTAGAATGCATAGAATTTCAAAACAGCAACATTGGGAGCTATGGAATGTCGATGCCTGAGGGAAACTTGTTTCCAACCTAGAATTCTAGACCCCCATCCAACCATGAAAAATAACATGAAGACTTCTGGAGTTGGAACACTCAAAAAATTTACCTTCCACCAGTAGAAAGGCAGAAATCTGAAGAGAAGAAGTTCTGGGATCCAAGAAAATGAGGATCAAACAATAAAGAGAGTTAGAAAAGTATTCATAACAAAACATGAAGGAATCCAAATCATCATGGATGGACAATGAGAGGAACAATGGTCTCTCCATACAAGTCGCTATTACACAGCTCCAGCACGGCTCCAACATGGATGTGCTTGAAAACATGCTGTGGAAGGAGTCAGACACCCAAGGTCACACATTACAGGATTCTATTGACATGAAATATAAGAAAGAGGCAAACCCCAATAAACAGCAAGTAGATTAGTGGCTGCTGTTGGCTAGGGGGAGGGAGGGATGGAGAGTGAATGCTAAGGGGTACAGGGCTTCTTTTTCAGGGTGAGATGAAAATGTTCTGGAACCAAACAGAGAGGGTTGTCCAACTTTGTCAATATCCCCCCAAAAAAGCGAATAAAGGGGTGAATTGTATGCCATTTGAATCATATCCCAATGAAGCCGTTAATTTTTAAGATGGTAAAGAGAGTCAGAGAGTGGCCGAGCTGCTTGTGCTAGGCGGCACAAGCAGCCCCATGACTGGAGCCCCACAGGGACATGTTGAGTGGGTACTTAAAACTGACGGATGAGTGCAGATGAGGAAGCTTCCAAAAGTTCATTTTAAAAAATGAGCATTAAGAGACAATGGACTATTCTCACAAACTTTTTGAAGTCCTCTTTTAGCACATTTAAAACAAAAACCAAACACATGCTTCCCGTGGCCAATAGGACTTTGACTCATGCAAGTCAGGGCAGGACAGCACTCCACTTCAATGGCTAGCGTTTTGGAAGCAGCTCATAAGGCCTTTTTACCAAAGCACCTCTGGGTGGGCTTGAAGTTCTAACCTTTTGGTTAGTGATTAAGTGCCTTAACCATTTGGATCACCCTAACATGATTATTATCTTCAGAGAAATAAGAAAGACTGGACAGGAGGGAAAAAATACTAATTGTGTACCTCACAGTTCAGCTGTGGATAGCGTATTCACAGCCATAAAAGCTAAGCCGCTGAACATCGATCTAACAAGGCCATGGTGGTCCCAGGAAGGTGGAAAGGGTTGGGGTGAGGAGGTAGGTGCAGGGGTCAAAGAGAATTATGCTTCCCCTCCTACAGGGCTAAGCCAATAGACCAGACCTTGAGCTGAGAGATCAACAAGCGGCGGTAAATGAGAACATGTTGACTCAGAGACGGATAGTGAGGAATCTTTTTTTCCATCTGCAGCAGTTATTTCTTTGCAGTGAGAAAGAGAAGAAACTGGTGGCCGAAGTCTCATGTCCTTTATTACAAAGCCACGTGCCATCCATTAATTTAACAAAGACAAACTATGTTTTGCTTTGGAACTATGACCAGCAGCATTTGAAAGGCAGTGGCACTTAGAATGGAACTGGGGGAGTTTGGTAGCCAGAGAGGGCCTCTCTGAGCAAGCAGGGCAGGACAGGGAGAAGTGGCAGTGTCCTTATCCCGGCGGTGGGCGTGGCTGGCTAGTAGTGCCTGGTGTCCCCTCAAGTGACGCCAGTGAGAGTCAGAGCTCCATGGGACCGCTTTGTTTTTCAAGGTCCCTCAAGTTCTCGGCTGCCTCTTGGGATGGAAAAAACAAACGTGTGTCTTCCTTCTCTGGCTCTGTTTACACAGGCTCCGGCATGTCCGGAGTTTGCGGTACTGTATTTCCAAGTGTGTGTGTCTAAGGCCCTAGTCTGCCTCTGTCTTCTCCGCGGGACCTTCTGGTCTTTGCTCCCTACAGGAGGAGACTGGCTGTCCACTTGTGGGGATCTGCACATCTCATTGGAAATCAAGCCGCGCTAGCGATGCCCTGCAGCACCGGGCTCTTGTGTGTGTATTTAAGAGGAATCCTCCATCTCCTACATTGGAGGAGGCAGGAATAAGCCTTCTGACCTTCAAGGCTGGGAGACAGGCCCTGGACAATCGTGAATTTAGAAGAGGGCTCTTAGAAACTAGTT